CTGGCAAATGTCGGCTGTGGCGTCGCGTAAAGACTACTGCTTCTGGTTTTGAGATCGCAGGTTTGAGTCCGGTTGGAGGTGGTTAGAGGTGGTTAGAGTAAGTTAAGTCAATTATTTCAATTTACAAATTTACAAATTACAAATTGTAAAATAAACTTCATATTCTGAAAAACTTAAATAGTCAAATCCCATAAAAAATAAATGAGATACATTTTTTTAAATACAATTTAAAAGGTTACAATAAAAATAATTTAAAATTACAAATAAAAAATAATTGCAATAAAAAAATATATTAACTAAAAATCAAAGCCATGTCTTTGGAGCCATTTCAAGGTAATATTTCCTTAAAATTATATACTTTTTTCCTAGCATCAAGGAATGTTTTTTTCTGAGTGCGGAGCGACGAAAAAACTTCATAGAAAATCCTGTTCTTCAGCTCCGAGTTAATTTTAAACGCTGTATCATATTGAGAACTGTAATTAATTTTATGCGGTAGAAATTATTTTTAAGTTCTAGAATTGAGTTAGGGCATTTCCATATGAAGGTAACGATAGGTATTTTTCCAGATATTTTTGCTGTGTTTGTTAGATTTTAATGAAATTTTATATGGCAGTAAGGTCACAAAAGTGAAGAAAACATAAAAATTGTTAAAATTAGCGAATTATTTGTATAAATACCTATATATTTTATAGATAACAGAAAGTGATTTTAGTGCCATAAAATGGCAGATATTTCGTAGGGAGCTTCATAAAAGTTTTCATAAACTTTGCTGGTGTTGGTTGATTCTTCCGACATAGTGAGAAGGTGATGGACTTTAGAACGAATTTGCACCATCTCTTATCAAATTTGGTTTCGAGTCAAACCGATTTCGGCGTTCTGAACTTCAGAACGAAAAATTACACTAAAAGTGGAAACCAAATTTGGTTAGACACTCGTTCCAAAATACATCGCTTTCCAAAATTTTAGTAAAAAAAAAATTAACATAAGAATACATATCCACGTGCTTTCACAATAACTTACCTAAAAAAATATTTAATCCCAAACATTCTTACTAATTAGCAGCATAGTCAAAACTTGTGTGTGCCAGCACTATAATTATAAATACATATCGCTCATTTACTTCAATAGTGTCATAAATCAAAAAAGCAAAACTCAAGAAAAACTGTTTTAAAGTTTTGAATTTACATACCGTTACCTTACAGGAGAAGCAAAAAACATTATAAAAAGGGTATCAAAACCACGTAGGGCTTTTTAAAAAGTGGCATGTAACCAGAGCTGGGTAAATGCAATTACATTACAATTACAATTACATTCCTCAGTAATTGTAATTAGGAATCAATTTTTTCAGTTCACAGCAAAGGTATCGATTACTTTCTCAATTCCTTGAAGTAATTTCAAATGGAATTTGGTTTTTTCTTGCAATATGAAAGGAATTGAAAATGTAATTTTTTCCAATTCCTTTGAAAGTAGTTGAAAATGTAATTGATTTTTTTCGAATTCCATTCCTCAAAGTAATTTAAAAAGTAATCGAAAGATTTATAAAACAAAAAAATTTACTGTTACTGCAATAGATTTGTTAAATTTTTTGGTTGCTAACTGCCTTGAACAAATAACTTATACCTAAGTAGTATTACTAATTGGATTTTAAGAAAGCAGAATTACTTAAACTGTAGCTGTTCAGTTTATAGGGTAACCGTTAAATTTTCCAGATCCTACCGCGGCAGATGAGACCCGTAAATGTCGAAGCAGGCATAACCCGCCGTATCTATAAGAATGCACTGACGTAATTGTTTACATTATGGTACCCAAAATGGCGTGCCTTCTGGGGCCTTTGAAGTACTCTTACCGGTATCCGGCGTTACAAATAAGCGCAGAGTCCGCTTGATTTATGAGCACTGTCGGACTGGAGATACCAGCTCCTAAGAGTTTTATAAATAAATTGCATTGCTATGGCTTAATTTTGATGTTAACACTGTAAAGACGTTAAAATTACACAAAAAACGCGAGACACGTACAATTAAATTTGGGTAGTAGGTTACGGATCTGTATACCGTTTTTTTAGATAAGGTCATTTAGTCGTTATTTGCATTTTAAGTTTGCATTGCAAATGTATGAGTACGATATGATGTATGAGTAACATTATTTCCTGCTAGTATTTCATACAAAAAATTAGTAGTGTTTTAAGCCGCAAAGCAAGCCGATATTGGCTAGTCTATACTAATATAAAGTCCAAACAAAAGGGTTGTTTAAGGAGAGTTTAACAAAATTTGTTGTATGGTAAACTCCGAGTTTGAAAGTAGAGTTTAGCGTTTAACTCCAAAATGACCCATAAACTCGAGTTTGTGACTCAATGAGAACGTAATATTACTTTAAGATAGTTGATAATCCTATCGAAAATATTGTCAAATCAAGATTTCTCAAACACCTTTCGTTTTGTACCCATACTGTAATATTTCATTTATTTTTTCAATTTAATTGAGTTAAATTTGCAAACAGGTGACAAACCTCTTCGAAAATATTTTTGACTTTAAGCCTTACTTAGTTGTGAACTAAATATGACTATGAATATGCGCCTATGATTTTTCATTGAAAATTGTTATGTTAAATCCCAAATATACATACACTGCCGGAACAAAGTATTGGCACAGCAAATTTTTCACAATATATGCAACAATTTTTATTCTAATATTTTTCCGCCAATTTTGTATAAAAATATGGTTCATTCAACAACAAAAAACAAAAAAATATAATTCCTAAACTTTGTGCAAAACTCGCGAAAATTCAGCAAATTTTAATGAAAATTTTCAACTTTTTAATCAGATGTTTTAGAATTTTTTTGAGTTTTGAACAAAGTTTAGGAATTATATTTTTATGTTTTTTGTTGTAGAATGAACTATATTTTTATACGAAATTAGCGGAAAATTTTTAGAATGAAAATTGTTGCATATATTGTGAAAAATTTGCTGTGCCAATACTTTGTTCCGGCAGTGTATGTATATCGTCACCTGAAATGCAAAATAACGTAACATATCACTGAAATGGAAAAAGTCGTGACAATTTTTTTTTTTATAAAGCGATGTGGGGAGTTGTAATTCGATGAAATCCATCATAGCAATCAAAAAGTAAATTTTGAATTTTTTATAAGTTACAAATTTTTGCAATTCAGTGACGATGTTGTTACGTTATTTTGCATTTCAGGTGACGATATCTATGAAAGCCACGCGATTATCTCGTACATATGCAATTTTGCGTCAAAACTACCATAACAGCTATAATCTACTATTCAATGCAACGTTTATGCGGGATTTTCTGTGTAATACATCTGGCAACATAAACGACGTTAACGTAGAAATGGCGCGAGTCCCAACATCCAATAAGAATCCAAGGTCAATAAATGCTCCCGGCGTAGATGGTGGCGCGACTTTTGAGAGCGAATGAGCAGCGAGCGTTTTTTTTACGGGTACAGCCGCTGAGCATCGATGGAGCAAATGAACTTACAATCATACATACATACCTAAATATGTTATAAACAATGGGGAAAGTGCATTATGTACACAATTAAACGTAGGAAACGGTGCGACGGGGCAGTGGTCTCACTTGGCACATTATGGTTAGTACATCACATTTTGTTTTGTTGTTTTAAATGAAATCTGCTTTAAGAGGAATGTAAAAATATCAACCACCTATTTTGAGATTCGAATAGAAATAAATGCCTATTTTCCCATGCACTGCCGGTTGAAAGAAGAGAAATTAGATGCAGAAATAAAACGAATACGAAATCCCGAAGCACGATGTTGTTTGTCTCTGCTGCTTTGTACGGGAGGAATGCGTGCGGGAGGATGCACAGTAATTGTTTATCGATTACATGACAAATTTTACTTGTGAACAACGCGCTTTTACTCACCAATTTCCATTTCGCTATTGTCTACGTCACCGTTATATCAAGTTCTGCTTGCTGACTCCTCTTTCTAGTGCCTATATGTAGATAAATAACTGTTTTCCGGTCGGCCAGGCCCACTTTTGGTAATTGAGGTGCGCTGGAGGAACGCCAGACTGCGAAGGCGATAAAGGCAGATTGTCGGTGCCGATGGAGTTTGCAGTAACTCTAACTACCTGCTCCAAGATTTGTTTACACTAGTTTAATATTATTTTATGTTATTATTATTATTGATTGGTTGAAATAAAAATTGCTGCGTTGTTTGCTTTCTTCGTACTCAATCTGTCAATTTCACCCAAGTGATCCACGATCCACTCCAACAACTTTTTTTGTTGCCAAATTTGGTCGTCAGGCAGTCGGTGATGCCACTGTCCAAAAGTTATCAATTCGGTTTTTTAGACTGGGTTCACACAGAGAAACCTGTGTTGCTCTTTTTCAGCAACATCTCTTTTGGTGTTGCTTTTCGCGTTCACACAGAGCAATTCTTTTAAATAAAATTGTTGTTTTCAGCTGTGAACGGCCAACTACAATTACTCAGACATGTTGCCTGAGCACGAGCAATTTGGAGGCCTTTCCCCTCCCTCGTCATCCCCTCTCCCACAAGTAAAGAGTTGCCGCGAAAAAAGTTTCTCTGTCTGAGCCTAGACATATTGTACTACGCACATGCAAAAGTAATTTAGCAAAAATACGTGTTTATATTAAAATGCATTCCCTCATGCATATTTGAGGCAGTTTTTTTCGAAAATAAACAAATACTTTAAATTTAAATACTTTTAATTTTTCCACTCCCACCGACTGATTTTTGACTTGGTTCTTTTGCGTGCCGTGTATAAAAATTAAAAATCAAGATTTAAGAGTGAAGCGAATTTGTTCATCAATTCAATAAAACTGTAATTAATGCGGTATATATGCAGTGTCCACCCCCGTTAATTTTTATTAAAATAATTGGTACTTCGAACCAAGCTCGGTGTGAAGGCCCCTTGCTTTTATTTTTTTGGCAAATGCCAGCGCGAAAGAAATCAATCAGCTGTAAGCTTTTGTTTAGAAAGTGTAACGCAAAGAGAAATCAGTGAATCAAATCAAAAAGGTAACAAAATATTCAAAACGCCGATGATCGCAGAAAAATCTATCATTCTTGTTGTGTTTCTTTACTATAATTCAATAATACATTTTAACAATTATTGAATCATGGCTGAAGGTAACGTTCATCCAACAAAACGGCTTAGATTAACTGGAAACTCGGACTGGCATGCTTGTGCTATACTGACTGACGAGTATTCAAAGGAGTCTCCTCTTGTTCGCGTTTATTTAAGTCAATTGGAAAGTAAAAGCCAAATATCAAGTGTAATGCAGGAACTAAGCAAATTATTGCCAATGGAACACATGGGTCTTCAACATTTAAAGCGTGTTCGGCAGCAGGAAATCATATTGTACAAAGTCAAAGATATTAATAACCAAACCTCAAGAAAATATTTAAATTCTCTAGGATTCAGCAAAGAAACCGTTGAAATTTTATGCAGAGATGTACGTGAATATGATGTTCCGGCTTTCCCGCCCAGGTTACGCTGGCAATATGAATTAGCACAGCAGCGTTGGCCAAGCAAATTTCATGCAAACAAATATATGGAACTACTTTACGACGGGAGTATGTTTAGCGAGGGGCAACGAATTTTCCACTCCAAGGTTTGGCTTTTACTGAATTCAATTTCAAGTGAGTTGGAGCACAATAAGCCATGTAGTATTTGCATAGATCCGCGTAACGATACAGTGGTTGCTTTGGCGGCCAGTAGGACTACTCTAAATCCTGTAATGCATTGTCCAATGGTGTTGGTAGATTTCGTAGCACGTACACAGAGTGGCGGTGCTTGGCTAAAGGAATTTTCAAACGAGTTTCAAAGTATTTACAAAGATTCCGACAGCAGCAATGATTTTTATTCCGTTACAAACGGAATACCTGAGAAATATTTGGAGTTTATTCAATCAGATGCACGTTTTAAAGACTTAAAAATTGGCGCAGAACCTCTAAGAACAAAAACTACGGTGCAGTCGGCGGAGCAAACTACACAAGTTGAAGACAACTTGGTAAAATATGGCCCCTATTTATGTACCGGATATGATGTGTATTTGAGCCAAGAGCCGTGTCTAATGTGTGCTATGGCGCTGGTACACAGTCGCGTGAGAAGAATATATTTTGATAAACGTTCTACGAATGGAGCATTAGTAACTCGATTAAAGCTACATTCTGTAAAGGAATTGAACCATCACTACGAAGTTTTTGAATGCAAAAGAAAATCCAATAACGAATGTTGTAGGTGACGTATGTGCTATTAAAAAATGTTTGTAATTAAATTATAACGCTTAGATAATAATTTAAGGGCAATGCTTTATGCAAATAAAGTTTTTCAATTATTTTAAATTACTGTATTTTAGTACCCTGTCTTGCAGGCGATGATAGCAAACCAAGTAATTGGCAGTCAGCTTCTAAAATAGTCAAATCTTTTTCTGAGCCCAAAAATTTCGTTGACAACTCCAAATCTTTAATCCGTAGCCTTACGCGTGAACCTCGCACATAGTCTCTGTAATCAAAATAAAATATTTATATAAAATTCATAGAGTTTGGTTATTTTAGAAACATACTCGCCACCGCGCGCCGGCCTCGTGCATACACAGTGAAACTTCCACCCGAAATCAATATATAAATCATCCCCGACTACATGAAAAATTTTTCCACTCACTATTTTGCCTTCTGGATCACCTAACTAAGTGGCAGATTTTATAATTGTGAGTGTAAATAAAGTATATTTAAGTAAAACTTACATCAATGAATTTCGATTTCCGCAACAAAGACGGAAACGTTTCTACATCTACAACTTCCTCAGGTTTACTTGTGGCAGCTTCCGTGTGTTTGTCAAAGGCCAAAGCGAAACCACTTTTCACACTTGCACCATCAGCAGTTCCAATAGCTTCCTCTGCCTGAACATTTGGTGAGTTGCTCGGTGGTTTGTTTGTACACAAAGCACGCACTGATTGCACAATCTTCAAGTTTGCCAACCTCGGTAAAATTCTTGCATGGGGAAAGCGCGTAATAGCAACAGTAGTTACTTTATGAAATAACATTTTACTTAATAGAAATGATGCTGATGAAATATCAAAGGATATACTCGTATTTTAAGGTTATGTTATGTTATGTCAAAAGACATTTGACAATAAATAAATAACAGCTGTTCGGGTTGTTGCAAGGCGAATTTATCCAAGGTGGTATTCAAGGCGAATTTAGATTTTCGCCGCGGTCCTTCTGAATTATAATTATAGATTCGCCTTGTTCGCCTTGGTNTAAGTTTTGGTTAAACATGAACAGTTAACAGCTACGCGAACGAACCTAATGATAAATTCGCCTAGGGTTGTCATGAACCAATCATGAACCAATTAGAACAGATCTGACCGGTTGAGAAGCAGCCATTTGTAATAGCAATTGAGAAAAAAGTGTGTTACGTTCATAATTTTGAAGTTTGCTATTTCTGTTTTGCTTCTTTCTTTATGTGTATTTTGTCGATGGTTTATTTCACAAAAAAACTTGTTTTCGTTGCTTTCTGAGCTGATGGTTGCTTCACTATGTTTTTACTTTTCTTGTGTCTTTCTTCGCTATTATCACTATGTTCTTTGCTTTAAGAAAATTTGACACAACAAAATTTCTTAGCCTTTTCTTGTGCATCATTTTATATGGAGTTGTTGCTTTTCGTTAGAGCTGGATACTAAGCTGAATCCAAGAAATTTTGCTTTTTACGGGTGTGCTGTCAAATCAGTAAAAGCAAAAATTAAATACAATGCGAATGAAAGAAGAAATCGGCTGGTCTAATAAACAACCTTCTGTATGAATACACTTTGTTTCACTACTTTTGCTGAATTCAGCCACACCGGCTGCCCTTATCGTATTTCTTTGTTTTGACATACATCAATTTTCCTTTCTTTATCAGCTGCTGCGATTAGTGCACGTTTTCCTGCTGATATCCTTTGAGCTGAGATTTAATTTAGCCGTTATTGTATAATTTTTAAGGTTTTATCAATTAAATTGTAGATATGATAGAACAACAAAGACAACGTATTGAACGTGCTGTAACAGAGATGGTGGATGATATGGATAAAACCCATTTACGTAAAATGCAGGTGAGTGCATGGGGGCAACAGCACTGAATGTTTGTTTTTAAATGTCATGGAGTATAATTGTAGACAGATATGCACTTATGCTCGGCTAAATGCTGTCAGGATATGAATGCAAGCATTGACAGTGTACAAAGATGTGTGGAGAGATGCTCGGCGCCGTTAACGCGTGCACAATCCTATGTTCAGCATGAGTTGGGTGAATTTCAGGGACGCCTACAGCGCTGTGTTCAGGTAAGGAAGTAACTCTTTTATGCTTAATTTTGCAAGTCAATGTATTGCGGTTTATTTGTTTACTCTTTTACCTTAGCAATGTAATGATGACGTCAAAGTGAAGATGCCGGTCAATCCCTCGGATGCAGATATTGCCAAATATACCGACCAATTTGAACGTTGCGCAATACAGTGTGTGGACAAGCACGTTGGTCTTATACCCACTATGATGAAAACCATTAAAACTGTGCTAGCGAAAGGTCCAGAATCCATTCCCCAAGTTTAAAAGCTTGCGACAAATATAAGCTTACCCACAAATTGTACGGTACATCAGCAACAACTGTTTTGTTTGTTACAAAATTATGTGACGAGGTTTAACAAAATTAAGCTGCATTAATCAAGAAAATAAATTGGTGAAACTTTACCTGGCAATCTTTACGTTCTACATACATACATAAATTCCTTCTGGCTGATGTCAGTTAAACAAAATTTTCCGCCATCTAAATCTAACTAACACTCCATCGCTCCATTGCCAACAAATTGTGTTTAATCGTAATACTCGTAAATGACAGAGCAACAACGTAAACGCGTAGAACGCGCGATATCCGACATGATCAATGAAATGTATTCAAGCCATTTGCGTAAAATGCAGGTTGGTAAGCGTTTAAGAGTTGAATTATCTTTTTATTACCGAATCAACTTGCTCATCCCAGTCTGAAATGCATATTTGTGCGTCTAAATGCTGCGATGATCAACGCGGAACTTTAGAGTCTGTGCAGACTTGTATTGAGGGATGTGCGGTGCCGCTTATTAAAGCTCAGGATTACTTACAGCAAGAGTTGGGGCAATTTCAAGGGCAGCTGCAAAATTGTGTTATGGTCTGTTATATTTTTTGTTTATTATCTAGTGTTACTTTTTTGTAAAATTTTTAGAAATGTAGCGAAGAGGCGAGACAAAGACTGCCACCAAGTCCAGGAGATGTAGAACTAGCCAAAAATCAGTATCAATTTGAAAATTGCACTGTGGCCTGCGTAGACAGACACATTGGACTCATACCCACTATGATGAAGACCATTAAGGCTGTGCTAGAGAAAGGCCCCAATGCCATGCCTCAAGCATAGAGTGTTATGTGTGTATGTAAAATGGGTTAATGTTAAGGGTTTTGTTTATAATAAATGAGAAGTTTGAAAGAAAGCCACCTGAATACTGTATTGGAGAAAAATGTTGTATTTTTAACAGAGAATAAGATAAATTAGTAATTGGTATTCGCGACGTACAAACGAATACATATACATATGAAATGTTGGGAACTAACAACAAATTTTTATAAAAACTATACAAAATATATCTAACATGCATTGTTTGCATACTACTCCGTTAGACGTCGTTTCTTTTCTACTTCTTCTTCGTATTGTTCACGCAGGTCTTCTATTTGATTCTCATATTTTCGTGTCAAGGTTGCAAGCTACAGACATAATTATTAGAGGTTTAGCAGTCATTCATTAAAAATGTGTTATACCTTTAAGTCAAACATGCGTTGCAGTAATTCTGTCTCTCGCTTCAAAGATAGTTGGTAATCCCTTTCTTTTTCAGCCAATTTCTTCTCAAACGATTCAACCAAATCCTTTCGCAATTGTCGCTCTTGTTCGATTAGCATTAAACGCATTTCAGCATCTTTCCGCTCCAGCTCACTGCGTAGGCTGAAAAAAAAACGTTGAAATAATTTGGTAAATAGTAGATTCAATAGTTACTAATAACTTACAATATATTTTCTTCGGCTGCAGATTTAGCCTTTTCCACTACAAAAGAATAACGTGATTTGTTCACAGGCTTCGTAGGCTGTTTAAAGATAATGTTCTTCGCTATTGCAGAAAATCGCAAAACATTCATATTTTCTTCATAAAAACAGTCCGTTGGTGTAACGTTCACGATCATTGTTAGCTTTTCTTTACCGAGCAAAGCCGCCTGCAAAAGCATCGTAAGTTTTGACTCTCGTACCGGAATTATTTGACCCTTGGACTTAAATTTTTTATTGTTATTAGCAGCATCCAGACAACGGCCAAGTGTCATAAGTGACGTGTTGATACCTTTAGCTTCTGTGAGACGGGAGCCAATGTTACGCGTTTTATTTAAACGTTCAGATCCAGCCAGATCGCAAAATTTATATGAGGACTGTTGAATAAAACATTTATTTTAGAATACTTTTTTAAATGTTAGCAAGTAATTTTTACATCTAAATCACTTACATCAACAACTAATCCAGAGCCGTAGTACTTTATGACATCAATAAAAAATATACAATGCGAACGACTCGAATTCGCATTAATCGACGTAGAAGCATATGTTACGCGTTGCAGTCCCCATTGAAGTAGTTTTAGGGTTTCTGCGGAAGACTTCACATATACAGAGGTCAGTCCTTGTAAGAAGACTTTGCCATCATTTATGACTGTTTTGAGCCCTTTTCGCTGTGGAGGCGCCATTTGTTGATTTCCTCTTGTCTGTGGTGGCGCCAACAGATCATAAACGATTTCGTTATATATTTCTACAAAGGAAATCCATATGAAGACAGACACTTCATCTTGCTCTAGAGTTTGAAATTCATGATCACGTTTTATTGTTTTCTCCAATAGCTCGTGCTCCGCGTTCATTCCTGCGCAACATTCTAGTAATGTTTGACGTATGTTTTCTTCGCGCTCTATTTCGTTGTCGTCCATTATACAGGTATTTGCTTTCTCCAATTTCATAGCTGGTTGTGGGTAGATGTTGGACGCATTCAATCGAAACACATTTTCGACAGCACGCGGCACTATGCCGGGGTCGCTTGGGGTACCTGGAAATCATAACATTTTGCTGCAGTCATCTTCGTGAAAACACAAACTTTTACTTACCCAACAATGTAAAAGTTTTGCCTGATCCCGACGTTCCATATGTGAGTACTACGAAGCTGTCTGCGCTTTCAATGCGTGGTGCAATGCAAATTCGATACACTTCGTCCTGTTTCACTGTACTATCAAACACAGCTGAAAAACTGTAGTGTTGTTCCATTTTGTTCTTATTGTTACTTGTTGATGCGGTATCATTTGGTGGGCCGGCAACAAGAACATTTCCCGCATGATTAATTTTGTAAGTTGAAGAAATGTGTGATACAGGTTTTAGACGTAAATAAACTAACGCACTATTGGAGTCAATGCTCTGATCACTACTCGCTTCACTTAGCGGTGTAGAAACTTCATCGTCAGTCGAGAGTTCGACATCGCTGTAGTAATCTCTCTGGCCTTCTTCCTGTATTTCATCAAAAAGTCGCACTTGGCGTTCGGGCCGTGGTCGAGAACAACGATCAACAGAAGGGTCTCGCGCACGTAGAAAGGACGGACGCACATCTTCGCAAATGCTATCAAGCGAACTTTGATCCGACATTATATCGCAATTTTCAAGTCTCTTCAAAGGGATGGATAAAATACACTTCAAATAACTGTAAATTAATACGTAAAACCTTTTATATTCAGATTGGCGCGCAAGAAATATGAAAATACCTACGTAAATGAAATGACAAGCAGCTAGCTAAATTCAAATCTGATGGATTTCGATAGAGTTACCAAGGCTTCAATAACAACTTTAAAATTGTGAATACAATTTTCTTCTTCTTATTTTCCTGTTTCACAATAAAACTATGGGGTTACAATTTTTTTTTAAATGAGGGCATGTTATTTAAGCTCTGATCCAGTACTCCATGAACTTATAGGATTTTACACGAACTTGCAGGAAGTTGCAGGAAAAATGTTCCCGTACTCCAAAATCCTGTAAATGAGAGCGACTTTTGGAGAGTTGTGTGGAGAATGAAGTTACAAGATTTTACCCGAACTTTTTCTTCTGGTAAAATCATGAAAAGTGTCAAGCAATCACTGGTTGACATTTTACAGGAAAAATGGATTTTTTGTTCCCGTACTTTTTGTTGTTACTCACTTTTTACTCTCACTTCAGATAGTAATTTTGCTGTTTGACAGTTTTACAGGATTTTTCACGAAAAGTATTGGATCAGAGCTTTAAGGCTCTGTTAAGGCTCTGTTATGCATACTTGGCATTGCTTGAGAGTTGTCACATAAGGAATCTGTTAAATGAGCTTCGCGTGTAAGCTGTTACCCAACGCACAGCATTACATACGTAAAAGTCTGTTGGTTTTTGATTTCTACGTAAAAATGGTATAGCAGTGCATGCAATGCCAAGTATGCATAACAGAGCCTT